GGGCCCTGGGCCCCTGCTGTATCAGAGCAGAGCCACCGTGCGAGGTTGGCACTGGGAGTCTCAGTCCCTGCCAAGGTTCCATGGGAGGTAGGTTTGAACTGGGGCAGCTGGTAGGTGGGGTGTGTGCAGGGTGTCATGCCCCAGCTGGGAGTCCCTGAGGGGGATAGGATTTGGGGAACTCCGTTTATTGGGCCCAGGGACCTGAGGAAGCACCCCAGGCTTTGGAGGAGACCCTTTGGCACCCCCTGCCCACCGCCCTGGTCCTGCCACCTCAATGGAGATAACCTTGTTAGGGAGCCCTGAAAAAAATTCACCTTTACCAGTGTTTTCTCCTGGTCAGAATTCATCCTCTGATCCTTTTGGCAAAAGAGCTTGGTGCAGTGAGGGAAAGGTTGGGTCTAAGAGTTAACCTGAAACGTTTTGAGTCAGTCCTGACTCTGTGGGTCTCTTGCTCTAAACCTCAGAGGAATCTGAGGGGCCCCTGGCATGACCTTGGCGAGAGCAAAACATGGTGGATTAGAGCTGACCCAGAACCCAAACCGAAACCAGACACCTCATCAGGTTTTCATGTGTTTGTTTTGGTGTTTGGTCATTTGCCTCTTGAAAAACGAGAGACCAGGAAGGGCCCTTGATAATTGAGAGTATTTAGGACAAGAGTCGATCAGACAGATTGGCACTGGGTCCCCCTTCGGCTCAGCCCCTATCCCTGCAGTGGGCTGGTGGGCTCTCAGAACAGACCATTTCCTGAGCAGGGAGGAGAGCAGGGCTGACGGGTGCTGTTAACCTTTGAGATGTCTGGTGAAGGGGGGAGGCGGGATGAGGCAGCCCTTGGTGGCGCCGGAGTCCCGAGGCGGAGGGAGGACCCTGGACCTGCCGTGGGCGAGGCGTGGTGATGTTTGCTTTCCAGGGTTGCTGGGTTTAACTTCTGGGTCTACTTTTGTGCCTTCATTTGCCCTCATCAGCCTGCGTGAGGCCACTGATTCTGCCTAGGTGCCCACCTCTCTGGCTTCTCCATCCTCTGCCTTCTGCTCTGCTGGAGCACTGGGGAGGGGGCTCGCCCCATTGTGGGATTTGGGCAGAGAATTTCTCTGCCTTTGTAATCCAGGTGTCTCACAGAGATGAGGTTGAGTTGAGAACCTTCTGTGCCTGCCTTTCACACTGAATGCAGTGGCCCCAGGCACTGTGGCTCTGTCCTGTGCTGGCTTTGGTTCCCAAACACATCTCTGTTCTGAAAGGTGAGGACCTTGCGGACCCTCTCCTCGTCTGACCCCCCCCCCTCTGTTCTTGGGCACAGCCAGGCTCAGATGGCTTCACGGTGGGACTTCATAAGCGGGAGTCCAAAAATGGTACCACAGAGGCACTGAACGTGGTCTTCCTTCCTCTGTTTTTCCTTCATCTCCTCACACCTTCAAATAAAAAAAATTTAAAAGGGAGAAAAATCTCTCCCTTAAAATCTGGCCTTGAGGTCTGGTCACCCCATGCCATTGAGACCTCAGGCTAGAGCCACATTCATGAGCCTTCTCGAAGGGTCTGGTCTGTTCATTCATGACCAGGGTAATTAAACAACTCTTTGTAAGAGGCAGGAGCTCCTTGTTAAGTGGTCTTCCCTAATGCAAGTGCAAACACAAGGCGAAATCCTGCCCCTTCTCATTGCCCACCCCCCTTCCTTTTAAAGGGTTGATTTTATGCTTTAAGGGAAATGGGGAAGGGGGGCGACCTTACAGGAATTTTAGGCCGATTCAGCATTTTTCTGGGGTTGCTCCAAACACATTCCCTAAACTATAATAAAAAGAAAAAAATTGTGAACAGGCATCTGATTAGTTAGCTTTTTTACAACACAGCTTTTCTGTTTGATGCTTTAGAATGCACAAGTACAGTTTTAAAACAAGCCCCTGTACAGTTTTCTGTGGAGGGAAAGAAAGTTGCTGAAAATACCGGAAAAGGTTATAAAGCTGAGGGAAATTAACAAGGGGCTGCCAGTTCTGCCTTTAGAGCTTAGTATCAGCAACCATGATAAGAAGCCAAGGTGGGCCTGCGAGACTTTTCCTCAGTCCTGGTGACGGGCTAACGAGGGAGACTGACTCCCTGTGTGTGGGATCCCCCCTGGGCCTCACCATGAGGCCCGGGGAGCCCCCAGGAGCTAAGCACAGACCTTCACAGGGAGATGCCTATAGGCTGTGGGCCCAGTTCAGGGAACTGGGTTTCTCTGAAGATGATGCTGAGCGCTTCCCAGAAATGAGCCCAAGCCCCAGGGGGCATTTGGGGCAAAGGAGGGGAATCTCTGGTTGGCATCGTGGGAAGTGCGACACATTAAAGGGGCCTTAGCTGTTGCAGGGGTTTTGCTGGAAAGCCTGTTTTGTGCTCAGAGATCATCCAGGAGCAGTGAGGAGAGCGCTGTGGGGTGACGTGAGGGGTCCTGCTGTGCCCAATTCAGGCACCTAGTGGGCTTTCAGGGACCTTGTTCACATGCAGGGACACCCACACGCTGCCGTTTATCTGGGCTGGGCCATTAACCTCAACAGAAAAAGGCTTTTTCCAGGGATGTCTGGCAGCAAATTGCTGGGTGGACTGGCTGGCCGTGCAGATGAAAGAGAAACCCGTCAGAAAGCTCCCTCCTCTCCCCCGCTTCCCCCTCAGGGCCTCGGGCCAGCCAACCTCAGGCCCCAGCCCCGCCCAGCTTCCTCTGGCCCCAGAGGCCCGTGGGGCAGACACAGCCCCCACCCCTTGCCCGTGGGTCTGGCACGAGGGCAACTCAATCTCGGGCCCCCACCCCGCACCTCCTCCTCCTCCCTGCTAGCTGGTGCCAGGTTTCAGGGGGGCTGGGCTCTGTTGGAACAAAGTATTGTGAGACTCACAGAGGGTCTTCCTTTCCAGGCCAGGTTTGTTGTCCCGAGTTGGGATAGGAAGGGAGAGCTTCTCACATTCCCAAACACCCTCCCCCTCGGGCGGGGACGCCCTGTGTCTTCCAGAAGAGGGATCTCTCCTCCCGCACGCTTGCACGCCAGAGCGCTGGTATTTACGTGGATGTTGTGGTTCTTTGGTGCAGCCTTCAGAGCTGAACTCCCTCGGCAAGAAAGTTCAAAGATTGCCAGCGCTCACGAGTTTATTAGCAGTTGATGGATACTTTGCAGAAACAAGTTCATGCCTGATGAGTCACCTTCTGCTTGGAGCCCTTGTCCCTCTCTTGTTTTTCCATATGTTCCTGTGTGTGCACATGCAAACACACACTCACAGACACACACACACGGCTTCTCTCACACTTGTACTTTATAGGCACATGAGTGTTTAGGGGGTGACGGGCGCCTTTTCTGGGGTTGATTTTCAGTGGGTGGGGATTGAGGGAAAGGAATGAGCCCCTAATTCCCTATTTTGTGTAGCTGCCTGGGCAGGCATCTGAGAAGTCCAGTTGGGGTGTCAGTAGGAGACAGCCACCCAGGGTGTGTCTGGGGCTGCCTCAGTAGGTCAAAGTGCACATTTGAACACTTATTCATGGGGCACCTCTCTGCAAGACTGGCTGTTACTTTAAAAAAAGTTCACAGAGCTGACTGGTTCCCAGGCCCTAACATGCCTGTAAGGAGCTGTGAGCCTCACCAGGTTACCTAGCCTGCTGGGGCAGCAGACACGGGGCCCCCAGCCCTCCTCCCCCCGGCCACTGCATTGGATAAGTCATCATCTATTCTGCAATCCCAGTAGTTCCAAAACCAAGAAAGCCAAGCACACCCAGACCTCCCGGCCAAGCAGCCTCATCTTTGTTCCTTAAGCCCCCCCAGAAAGTGAGAAGGGAGGGTAGGAGGAGGCCCCTGTCTCCTGGGGCCCCTGCCTTTCCCCATTTTTGTTAACAAATGCAAGACTTCCGGTCTCCGCCCTGCCACACAAACCACAGCCTTCGTTCCTACAGCCTGGCCCAGCCCGGTCTGGGAGATTTACAGTTCCCGGTCCGGGGCCTTAACAGGCCCCACTGGCTCCAGCTTAAGGAGGAGCTGGCATGCCAGCCGCCAGGGCTCCCTTCCCTTCTGTCTTCCCCCCTGCGCAGATCTCCGCGTGCTTGTTTAGGAAAATCACCTTACCAGAACCACACCAGTCTCCCGGGCTACCTGTGGGAAGAACCGCTTCTAGAACAGCTGGGGTGGGGCCTTCAGGGGAGGGAAGAGGGGGAGGCAGCCAGGAGTCGAGATTCTTTATGTGAGCGGAGAAGGGCACTTTAACGATGGCCATCCCCAGTTTAGACACACAATCTGTCTGGGCTGGAGGAAGCTTCGTGGAGGTAGTCTGGGTTTTTTTTAACGTGTGTGTGTGTGTGGTGATGTGGCATTTTGATGGGAGTTCACCCTTTGTGTACGGTGCTGCTGCTGACAGACACTGAGGACTGTTTTTCTATTATGATTTTTTTTGCCCCCCAAATCTCCTCCGTTTAAATTTTTGCCGGATAGCACTTGCTTATACCAAGGTCCTGATCTGAGAACTTGGTGACAGTCGCGGAGACCATACAGGAAGCGGCCCTAGAGAGCCTGGAGACCTGAGCCCTTCCTAGGTCTGGCTGTGTCACCCTGTGGGACCTGAGCAGCTGGTGCCATCCAGTTTAAAGAACTGTCACTCTGGGCCATCTCTGAAGGCCTTTTCTAGCTTTAAAACTAGGTAGGACTAGCTGAGTTACGAGGGGTCCCCTGACTTCTGAGCTTTGTCGGCATGGCAGCTTCCTTCGCCCAGGTGGGCACTCCCTCCCGGGATGGGGACGTGGCGGGAAGGGGCACCCCTGGGAGCCCTGTGCTCCATCAAAGGCAGGGCTGTTCTCTCAGGGTCAAGCTTTCCAGGCCCCCAGAGGGGCACTGCAGAGTCTGCGGCATAGCCAGCGCCGCCATGATCTCCTGTACCTTCTCGTTCGGAGAGCCCCACTGGTCGTAGGGGTGCTCGGGTGTGAGCGTCGGGGCTCCAGGGGGCAGAGGACAGCCAACACCATCACCGCCGTCACCACTGACCATGTCTGCCGTTTTGTTTTGCAGATTCCCAACTTCTCCTGGAGCCTGGGGATCGGTCACACTGGTGCGTGGTGGCATACTGGGAGGAGAAGACACGAGTGGGGAGGCTCTACTGTGTCCAGGAGCCCTCCCTGGACATCTTCTATGATCTACCTCAGGGGAATGGCTTTTGCCTCGGACAGCTCAATTCGGACAACAAGAGTCAGCTGGTGCAGAAAGTGCGGAGCAAAATCGGCTGTGGCATCCAGCTCACGCGGGAAGTGGACGGCGTGTGGGTGTACAACCGCAGCAGTTACCCCATCTTCATCAAGTCAGCCACACTGGACAACCCGGACTCCAGGACGCTGTTGGTGCACAAAGTGTTCCCCGGCTTCTCCATCAAGGCTTTCGACTACGAGAAGGCGTACAGCCTGCAGCGGCCCAACGACCACGAGTTCATGCAGCAGCCGTGGACTGGCTTCACTGTGCAGATCAGCTTCGTGAAGGGCTGGGGCCAGTGCTACACCCGCCAGTTCATCAGCAGCTGCCCGTGCTGGCTGGAGGTCATCTTCAACAGCCGGTAGCCGCCTGGGGAGAGGACAGAGCGTGAGCTGAGCGGGCCCAGTCCAAACTACTTTGCTGCTAATATTTTCCTCCCGAGTGCTTGCTTTTCATGCAAAACTCTTTGGTCATTTTTTTTCTTTCTTGTCATTTTGTTTATGTTCTGTTTTGTGTTGTTTTTGTTTATGAGAAATAGCTTATGAAAAGAATTGTTGGGGTCTTTTTTGTGGGGGGTCATAGGGTTGGCAGGACACCCCTAGCCCCACCCCCATATGAAAAGGGGAAATAAAAATCGGTCCCACCAAACAGTGTATGAATGGGGAACAGGCCCTAACTTTGAGGTCATCAGTTCACTTGTCAGGGTGGATGTGTGAGCGATTGTGTGTGTGCGTGTGTGTGTGAACACAGGTGCCCCCCCCCCCCCGCCCCGCCGCGTGCTTCTCACTGACCTCTCCGGCTGGGAGGTTCTCGCTCCCCAGCTGAGCCTCTCTTGCCCTTTGGTTGTGCTCAGTGAGGCAGAGGCAGTACCTGGGGAGGCCTGCGACCCCACCCGTGTCCCCAACAGCTGCCAGAGCGAGGCCCTGCCCCCAGCCTGGGGAAAGCCCCTGCCCTGCCTCTTCCCTTTCAGGACTCAGGCCTGTCACCAGGCTTCGTAGAAACAGCCCTGCAAAAAAGAGGCCGAACCAGAACCAGTTGTTTGAATTTAAGCTTGTCCACTCCCCCCAGCCACCCTCGCTGCCATTGTCGCGTCTTTCTTGTTTGGCCATCTGCTCCTGGATGTCTCTGAGATGGGCTCCCCGCGGGCTGCCGGGGCAGCCCCACACAGTATTGCTCTCCCAGTGCCCTCGCAGGCCCCTCCGCCTCTCCCCGGCCCTGGCCACATCAGGTTTTACCCGGACTCTGAAAACCAGCTCCGCACTTTCCTCCCCTCCGCAGCCCATGCACCGAGCTCCGCTGTTAGACCAGCGAGGGGAGCAGCCCCCCTTCCCTTCCCACCAAGAAGGATTCGGTCCATCATAACCCAAGGTACCGCCCTGGGCTGACACCTGACTCTCCTTTCGTCTCTTCTACAACTCATACACTCGTATGATACGTTGACACTGCTCTTAGCTCAATGAGCATGTTTAGACTTTAACATAAGCTATTTTTCTAACTACAAAGGTTTAAATGAACAAGAGAAGCATTCTCATTGGAAATTTAGCATTGTAGTGCTTTTGAGAGAAAGGACTCCTGAAAAAAACAAACCCTGAGATTTATTAAAGAAAAAAATGTATTTTATGTTATATATAAATATATTATTACTTGTAAATATAAAGACGTTTTATAAGCATCATTATTTATGTATTGTGCAATGTGTATAAACAAGAAAAATAAAGAGAAGATGCACTTTGCTTTAATATAAATGCAGATAACAAATGCCAAATTAAAAAAGATAAACACAAGATTGGTGTTTTTTTCTATGGGTGTTATCACCTGGCTGAATGTTTTTCTAAAGGAGTTTATGTTCCATTAAACAATTTTTAAAATGTACACTTGATGCCAATGTGTCCTCTACCTCCTTTCTTCTGACGGGACGGGTGTGGGGAGGGGTGTCAGAATCCAGGACAGTTGGGGTCTCCACCCGGTGCTTGGTTGGGAGGAGGGGAAGGTGAGCTGCAAATGAATCAATCCTCTTAAATGCTAGGCGCTTAGCTGCACACCCTCCCCTCCATTATGCGTTGTCCCTTGGGTGTCAGTCACAGGTGAGCATCCCAAATATGTAATGAGATCAATCCCAGAAAGCCCTGAGTTACAAAAGTGGCTGATCCCTTTTCAGAACTGGAAAGGATTCCATTTTGGGTGGCTGGGTAGGGGGTTGCTTTGGGAGATGGTGGGGGAGGGCGGGGTCTGCGATCCCAAGAACCCAGACCCCACCGCTGCTGCTTGGGGTGTCCTCGCTTCGCATCAAGTCCTGAGCCCTGTGGGCCCTTCCCAGAGGAAGGTCACTGCCACACTGGCCTGCAGGATAGGCTTCCTGAGAGCTGAAGCCCTGGAAGGAAGACTAGGGGGAGGGGGAGTGTTGGTGATAGGCCATCCTCTAGGTCCCACCCGAGTGCTGGGCCAGGCGCTCCAGGAAGTGGGGAAGCCCGGGCAGGGCTCGGGGTCCAAGTCCTGCTCCACAACGTCCTTCCTCACCCACCTGAGCTCCAGCCCGGCCACGGTTCTCCGGTGCCCTGGTCCAGCCCAGCTCTGATGGCACTTGGCTGGTGAAGGGCCCCTTTAGTACTTGCCCTGGGATTTCCATGGGTGACCTGAGCCTCGTTTTAGATTGGGACTCTTGCACAAGAGATGGGACCAGATTGGGCACCAAACAGGAGCTGTAGAGGTGCCAGGGCTCTTGAACCGCAGATCCAGGAGAGGGGCCTCTAAAGTGGAGATTAAGATTTTGGGTATCAGAGTGGGACAATTTCCAAAACCCTTTTTGGAGGGCCAAAGTAAGAATGGCCAATTTCTGATTTTGCCAAATACTGACAGAGCACTATAACCTCCTGGCACCATCATTTCATTCAAGGGACTTCTTATACAACTACGTTGTAAGAAATATGAATACATTTTGATTTATGCTTCTGAGCATTAGTGTCAAATGGTTACCTGGGCCAACTTGTTTACTAGAGGTGATGGGGAGCTCACTTCCTATCAGGAGACCATTTTGCTTTTTCTCCATTGAACTGAAACTCTTCCTCCATTTAGTCTAGTTCTGCCACCCAGAGTAAGTGTAAAACCCCCCCATCTCTGGAAAACACCCAAGGAGGGTTCTAATTAACCCTGCTGCAGTGGGGTGGAGGAGGGATGGGTGGGGGTGGGAGGCGTTATTTCAGGGAGCTGTCAGAGTCATCGCGGTTTGCTCTAACTTGCATCAGCATGCCAGGAAGCTCTTTAATAATAATAGCTGCCACTTATTGAATGCTTCACTAGGTGCCAGGCATGATGCTAGGCGTTGAAGGGGATTATTTCATTCTCACTCGGGCCCTCTGCAAAACTGGAGGCCTTGAGAGGTTAAAAGGCTTGCCCAGGGTCGCTCAGGAGAAAACGCTCAGGGAGCTCCAGGTCCGACTCTGGCCGGTGCCCTGTAGAGATGTTTGTTTGATGGAATCCGGTGTGGTGCCTCTCCCACAGCTCCTCAGAACAAGAGGAGGTGGGCCACCACGCTGTCACTTGGCCCTTCAACTCTGAGGCAGAAGCCATGGCCGCAGCACCTGTAGGTCCTCTTTACCTGGATTTGACAGCTTCAAGAGCCCAAATGGTGTGAGAGCGTGTGCATCCTGGTAAGGTGGCTGGCTCCAGGTGGGCAGGGAATGAGGACCACACAGGGGAAGCCAGGTGTTTCCTGGTAGCCGACACTCCTCACGCAGCTGTAGTGGCCGTCACCCACAGCACCTTCCGCTGAGCACCTTCCGTGTGCCAGGACTGCTGCAGGGGCACCTTACTGTCGGTGGCACTGGAGGACAAGATGCCCACACCCAAGATAGTCTCCAGTGGCACAGGCAGAAGTGGCAAGTTCTCGGGACCACCTGAGACCTACAGAGCAGGGAGACTTCCAGCCCAAGTAGAGTCTGAGTTAAGGGGAGGGGAGAAGGTGTGCTATTGTGGGGAAGTTTTCCAGCGGCCTGCTTCTCCTGCCTGTCTCAGTTCATCCCTGAAGTTTTGGGGAGTATCACAGGGTTCTGCCCTTTCCCCAGACAGAAGCAGTACTCTGCCTTCATCTTCCCTTACCTGGGGATGCCTTAGCCGCCCCCACAAGAAACCTGGATTCTCCCATCTCCTTTGTCCTCATCCCTTGTCATGAAATAAACACCCCAATCCTGTCTACCTGCCTCATTTGATCCATAGTAATACAATTTTACTACCTTTCATAGACATGGTCCCTTTCTCCATCCCCACTAGAATGATTTCGCTCAGAGACTTCTAGCATCTCCTTGGCCCTCCTCTACTCCCAGTGGCCTTTCAGTCCCTGCCTCTGCCAAACTCACCCTTTAACCCCATTCACTCTGCACGTGAAGACTCCGTCCTGGGCACGCAGGGTGAATTACAGGTCCCTGCACATGCCTTGCTCGCATGTTTCCAAGCAAGCGGTCTATGGTTCCTTCTGGAATCATCCTTCAGGGTGCAGCTTGGCCCACACCTTCTCCAGGAAGCCTCCACCCTTTCAAAAATGTCTGCCCTAAAGAGATATTGATGGTGTAGAATTCTGTCTCCCCTACTGAACCCTAAGTTCTTGGTGCTCTGGGGGGTCTCAGCAGGGACCTGCGGCCCTAGCAACTCCTGGCGCAATGCTCAGACGGCTTGTTCCATCAACAGGGAAGAGGCAGAACTGAGAGCTTGGCTTGGAAAGGGAATGATAATAATAATGGTCAGCACCGATTTCTGACTTCGTGCTAGGCCGTGTTCCGAGCCCTTTACACTGGGATTGTCCCCTTTAATCCTTACAACCCCCCCCTAAAGCAAATACCATTATCATCAGCCCCATTCTACAGAGGAAGAAACTGAGGTTGAAAGAGTTGCCGGGGGTCCCCTAGCTGATAGCATCGGATTTCATCACCTCTGTGTTACTTAATCTCTTCGAGCCTGGGTTCCGGGCTCCCTGTGTTGGGCGTATGTTTTCCCTAAAACAAGTTCTGGTTCGGAAGGATCAAGCTGGTCTGATTGCTGAACAGACGAAAAAACGCCTGACATTTGTGCAGGTCTGTAGGCACCAAGGGCCTCCCTGGTGTTACCCACCAGTGGCCCCCCCTGCAGCAGGAAGTGGGCAGGAAGAGCCTGCCCGCTCCCAGAGGTGAGGGACTCACCCAGGGCAGCCGGCCCAGCGTGCAGAGCGGCTGAAACTGCACCAAGCCCACAGCAAATGCAGACTTCCCGAGGGGTCAGTTAGCCAGTGTCCCCTCCCCAGTCTGTACAGGAGCTTTGTGTCGATCTGTGTTGTCAGGGCTCCTGGGCAGAAGCGTGGAGAGCGACCGACTGACAGAATTGGGCCGCTGCGCTCGGGCATCTGACATGCAGCAGGATATGAGACAGTCGTGGGTTTTGCAGCCACATAGACCGGGGTTTGAGTGCTGTACTCTCTTGGGCAAGTCACTTGACCTCTCTGAACCTTAATTTCTGGAACATCAAACAGGCCTTATACCTGCCTCGTGGGGCCAAGAGAGGGATTAGTGGGGAAATGCGTGTGGGGAGCTGGCCATAAGAGAGTTAGGTTAGATTACGCGGGATTGCTAATGTGGGACCATTTTGACCTGCAAAGATGGCAATGTCATATTGTTTAATCTGCTGGACGCTCAGTTCAAGGCAGTGACCGTCAGGAATCTCCAACCTTCTTTTCCCCCTGCAGCGCAGGCAGGGGCTGACGGTGTCCTCTGGGGGTGGTTGAGTGAGCTGAGAGCAGAGTCATC